TTATTATTATTCCTGTAAACTCCCAGTGGAGCATAGGGCCGCAACAACAACTCGCCAACGGAAGTTGTTATTGCAGTTACTTGTAGCAGGTGTTTTTTACGGAGTGGAGTTGCTAGCCCCGCGCCCAACCCTCCTCCTTTCTCATCCTGGACTTGGGACCAGACAAAGGCGGAGGTTGGCATGTTTGGTGTGACGGGGATTCAAACCCGCGACCCTCAGATTACGAGTCGAGCGCCCTAACCACCTGGCCATGCCGGGCCCACCAGTTTATACTAGGGTTAGTAAAACTACTTAAGCCTGAATTAGAGAAGTATTTCATAATAATTTTTGGGGGTATTTCTTATTTTCTGATGTAGAATATAGTTTTCTGAAGAAGCAAAATTCAAGATTACTATTAGTTGAATACGTTAAATGTAAACTGTTCAGAAAGTAAAAATCTTGACCTACTGTGAAACAGGCTCTTTGAAGAAGAAGTGATGCAACTGCTTTACCATTTTTGCCAAATATCTCAACTCAACTGTTACACCTCCTCACTTCCAATTCACTTCCCCTGTCTTACAACAATTTTCTTGAGAAATGAATGCCAATGAAAATTCTTGCAGAGATTTTGCTCATTTTCTAGCAAATTTGTGAATTTTGAAGAGAAACAAATGATGGAGAAGTGCAATCTCCTTAAAATAACCTGCAAAACTTTTAAGGTATATAGACTGTGAGTTCACTTATATTTGTAGTTTTTCACCAGATCTGTCAGGCTTTCACTAAGAGCAGAGCTGGGTATGCAATTTACCACTCAAAACATTAGTTAAATTGCATATCTAATTAATTATTATTATACATTTAGATGCAAATGTCGTGTAAATTCTATTGTCTTGTATATAAACAAGTCTTGCAAAATATTGTGTTTATCATATCAAAGAACTGTACTTATAAGGCATGTAAAGTAAATACTGATTGTGTTCTCACCAGCTTTTCAAGTTAAATGCTTTATAACAATGCAAAATCAAAACTGCACTACATGTTTAAATAATGGGACATTATAAGTAACAGCTTCACAAATGATAAAAAAAGTGATATTCAACTTACAAGAACTTTAAACACTAAGCCTGAATGGGCTGTAGCATTGCCATCAATAGTAGAAAACATGGAAAAAAGAGCATCAAGAATATCTTGTAGAAACTTTACAATCTCCTCCCCATTCAGCTTCATCACCTTCAATAACGTATCTTGGATTCTGTCTGGATGAGCTTTCCATTTAAGAAGAGCAAGAAGATCTCCTATGAAAAAAAAACATTTCAATAATATTTGAATAATTCAACATAATTTTATTTACTTTCCCTATCATCTTTCACTGTAAAATTTCCAAAAATGACAGACACCATTTGAAAAAAAGCTTCCTTTCATTGTAGAATTTACTTCTTTTTATTGTTGATCAGAAATTTCCCATTTATATATATACAATCAGATTTAATTTCATCTATGTTTATTAACATGTTTATTTATACTTTATTTTGTTAATTGCAGTAGTCACCACATCCAGATATAAATTGTAAAAAGAGCAAAAACTGACAAAATTATCAATGACCTACAGCCTGACCTATCATAATGGTGTCACATTATGCTAACTAATAATGTTTTCGCTAACACTATTCTTGGTTGAGATAAATTTTTATCTGACAAATGATTTCTTTACAATAAATAACAGGTTATTTTACTTATCTACATTGTTTGAATATGTAAACTTAAAAATAATATTTAGTAATTTAGAGGAATGTTATTTCATAGCGTGCTTTGATGTTACCTCCCTTTTAACAAATATTCCTCTAAATGAAACCATTAATATATGTAATATTTAGTAAGTAGTAGAGATCTGAGTCATTTGAATATTTTGCCATCACCAACCATATTCCCTAAACCTAACTAGGGTTGCCTAAAGTCTTGTCATAGAAGAAAAGTCTACAAAAATCGATAATTGTGTTGTTTTCACACAAAACTCCTCAGAATTGTGGAGAAGTATAATTTTAAATATTTTTTTCCATTTTCTTCAAGAATACACTGAATAAATATTACAAATTGCAAATTATCAATTATGAAACATTTTTGTGTCAAAAATTTTGAAATAGAATTGAAAGTATCATATTTTCTTCAATTTTGAAAACTGATATCCAGGTGTGCACTTGACACATGAAAGGTGCTCACTG